ATATAGTATTATTATTAAATCTTATAATTTATACTTCTTATATAATTATAATAATCTTAATACTTATATATATTTATTATATATTAGGTAGAAGTCCCTTAATATAAATATAAAGTTAATATTATTATTATTAAAGTAAGTGCTTTTATCCTTATAGCTTTACTTATTTATAAGGGTATTAGGGCTAGCTTATAAGGCCTCTTCTAATTTTATAATAGTAATAGCTTTAAATTTAAAGTTAATAAACCCTAAGAAAGCCTTAAATTTTAAAAAGCTATTAAAAGACTTACCTAAGCTACTTATAATATAAATAATATAAATAACTCCTAAAATAGCTTAGCTTATATTAAAAAGTAAGGCAAAATTACTAAGTTTTAACTTTAAGTAGTATTATAATATCTCTTATAAATCTATTAAAGAGGTCTTAAATAAAATTCTATAAGACCTTTTAAATTATAAAAATATTTATAACTAGGATAATAAGCTTATAATTATATTATTTATTGCCCTTATAATAATTATTTATAATTATTATTATAAAAAGCCTAAATACCTTAATAGCTTACTTAAAAATACTATTATTAACAAGGTCTTAACAGCTAATAGTATTAATAATAAGCCATTTATTAAGGCTAAAATAGCTAATATTAATACTTATTTATTCTTTATAAAGGTATCTCTAGGCCCTTTAACTAATTCTAAGTCTTAAGGTTTTATTTATAAAGAACTAATATACTTTAAAACCTGCCTAAGAGAAGGCTATTAATAACTCTAAAATTAGAGGCCGTTCTAATTATATCTTATATATAAAATACCTCTAGAAGTTTCTAATTTAAATTACCAGGCCTATTATATAGGCAAGTTATATAAGTATAAAACTCTAACTTTAACTGCCTTTTACTTATTATTATATTAAATATATTAAGAAGAAAATAATTACCTTAAAAAGAGCTAGCTTTTTTATCTTATATATATTTTATATATACTTATAAAATAAAAACTATAGCTTTATTTATGCCTTTATTAAATAGCACCTTAACTTATAATATATATAAAAGGTCCCTTATTACTAGTAGTAAATATCTCCTCTATAAATAAATACTATATATTAGACTAGCTATATAACCCTATTATAAAAGTAACTTTACTATAATATCTTAGTGCTAATTATCTGCCTAGGCAGTTATAATAATAATATTATAAAAGGGTTATTATTTCCTACTACCTTTTATATTTAACCCTTAATTTAAATTCCTAAGATATAGCTAATACTAAAGAATTAATTAATTAAGAGGCTGTTTTCCCCTTTAGGTATAAAATAAAAGACTATTATAATAACTTACCTAATAGCTATTAATCTTTCTTCTAGGTATTATTATCTATCCTGCTTATACTTACTAAACCTATTAAATTAAAGTCTTATAAGAAAGAAACTAGCTTATTATATAATCCTAAGGCTTTATAAATTATTATTATACTTAACTTTCCCTTTAATTTAGGCTATAATTATAAGCCAGTATAATACCTTATGCCTATAGCCTAGTATATATATGGTATAGTATTTTTTATAGTTATATAAAGAAATAATACTTAGGGTATATATAATACTATTAAAGATTACCTAGTAGATAATAAAGATAATAATATATTTAATAATAAGAACTTTATTAAGTTAATATTATATTACTAGGTAATATAGGTATATAATAAGCTAGCTAAGTTAATATCCTTAAGTTTATATTTCCTAAGAAAGATATTTAAAATAAATATTAAGAAACTTTATATTAATATATATATATATAAGAAGCTTAGTATTAAGTATTAGATATAATAAATAAATAAGAAGCTATTTATATTAAAGGATCTAGAGTTATAAATTATTATATTATAAGGGTAAGTATAAGAAAATATAAGTATAATAGTTTAAATTATATATAAATCTTACTCTCTAATACTAACTTACTATCTTAATATTATATAATATATTTCTAGCTAATTAGTTTTTTATTTTCTTATAAGCTTATTATACCTTTATATAGTTATATAATATTATAGTAATTCTTAAAGCTTATCTAGCCTTCTAGAAAAGTAAATATATAAAGATATTTACTTACCTAATAATAATATACTTACTACTAATATCTATAGCTATAAGTATTTATAAAGTATATCTAATATATATCTAGTTAATATTTAATAACTAATATTTTACTATAGTTATTATATAATATAAGTATTCTCCTAAAATTAGTAAACTTCCTATCCTTTTTTATTATCCTTATTATATCTCTTATCCTTATTATCCTCCTTAGCTTATAGTTACCCTTACTTTTAGTAAAATAATTTTATATTATATAAATATAGCCACTATAAGCTTACTAGGCTATAAAAAGAATTAATATATTATTTTAATACCCTAAGTAAACCAGAATCCCCTATATCTAGGGTTATATTAATATATTAAACCTAATTATTAATTTAAATCCTTATTTAAGAAACCTACCTAACTACTAAAGTAAAATAATCTAAGATTCCTTACTTTTTTATATTACTTAGTTTATCTTTTACTACCTCCTTATATTAATATTATATTACTTCCTCCTTAATAAGATTAACTTCCTAATTTATTAGTAGTTTTTATATTAATATAAGTATAATCCCTATATAAAGATTTACTACTACTAGGCCTTCTTTATTTAGGATTTTATATATATTATTCTCTTATTAGTATAAGTTATTATTAGTAGTGCCTTTTTATATTACTTAATTATCTAAGATATTCTTAGAGTTATATATATACTTATACTTAATATTATACTAGGTCTTATTTTATAGCTTTTTATTTTATATTTTATTAGTATTATACTTATTTTAGAGTTTATTTAAGATAATTTACTAAGGATAATTAGGTTTCTAAGCTTTAGGTATTAGCTATAGAGGGGCTAAAGAATAGGTAATTTATTATAGTAATAAATATTATATTAAATAAGCTATAAAATATATAAAATATTAGCTATTCTTATTATAAATAAATTACTAAAGTAGTTATATTAAAACTAAGAAAGTACTTTATAGTACTAGGTTAATTTTAAATATATTTAAAAGCCTAATATAAAAGAAATTAATAAAATATAGGCAGAGCTAAAAGTAAAAGGCTTTAAGAGGAGAAAAGTAAAAGTAAGTATAATTAGCCTTAGAAAATTCTAATAGATTAAGTCTTATCCTAAAATGTATAATAATAACTAGTAAAGCTAAGGTAAAGCATACCTAGCTATAAAAGCAGTTTATCCTAAGATATACTTTATAATTTATTAGTCTTTAAAATAAGAGATTATTAAGTCTTTACTTAATGGCTAGGTTTTATATTAGCTTATCTAAGGTTATAATTATTATTTCTCTAAAGTAATTCCTTATTAAAGCTATTAATCCTAATATTATTTAGTAGGAATGCTAAAAACCTTCTAGTAGCCCATTATAATACATTATAGCCTTATAGTCTAATTATAAGTAGCTAAGGCAAGCAGCAAACCCTTAGGCAAGTAGGCTAAGGTATTAAATTAGCCTTACTATTATGGCCTTTAAGTGCTTATATATACTTACCCATCTTAGCACTCCTATAACTATATTATAATATCCCAAGAGGCTAATATAATTATCTTATTATTATAGAAGCAGGAATAGGCTATATTCCTAATAGAAAAATATAATAAGAGAAGCTAAAAATTCCATTTCTAAATAGAGAAAAAAACAAGCCATAGCTAGCTTCTTATTAAAGCTTTATCTAAAATTAGACTAATAGCCTATATATAAATACTATAGTAAAAAAGTATTACCTTATTAGTTAAATCCTTATATAAGGCATTTAATAGCACTATTAAATAAGATATAGCCTCTAAGCCATAGATAATCTAGAATATAAACTAAGAGTTAGGGCTATTTAGTTTAATTATATAAAATTATAATTTTTTCCTTCCTTACTACTAAGAGTAAGAAATTAATATTATATAGCTTAGGGAAATAGAAAAAAAACATAGGAACTTTATAAGTATATATATAATAAGAAACCATACTGCAGTACTAAGAAAATAATTACTAATCTTTTGAAAATACTAAGATATATAATATACTTTCAGCGGCATGTCCTAAAAGAATTAAATGCAATATAAGTTGTTTTAATAAAAATACCCTTATAACACTAGTAGGCGGCCTGTTAATTATCCTTGCATATATAGCACTCTTCTGCTTCCTATGGTTTGGCCATGAGAATAACAGCATCTGGTACCGCATTATTGTCTCAGATTGGCTGTCATAATCTATTACTGTCACCTCCCTTGTCCTTCGTTAGGCAGTAGTTGCCCAAGCTGCAGCAATAATATCTATAATCGCTGCTTTACTACTTTAAACATCAGGAACGCCATTGTCAAAGGCTGCGGCTACATCCCTGGCTGTGTTCTCTAATGGGGGTCCCCATGAGCTCATCCGGCGCCTCCCTCGCACATCTGGCCGTCGAAGTTGGCATTTCTGGCTAGTTGTGCTGCTTCTAACATGTACAACAACTCTACTCCAGTTCACATCAACAGCGCTTTTGTCCGATATCGGCAGTGGGACTATTACTGATCACCGATACCTCAATCTACCATATGGCATCGACTCGGTGATAGCGCAATTTGTTGTGAATGATGTTGGCTATCTTGGTGCTAGACCGATCAGTTACCCAGCTTTTGCTGAGTATACTGAGCCAGCCTCTCCACGCGATGGTGTTACAGATACGGGAATATCTATACGCGCTTTCATACCAATCGATCCGCAATCCAGTCGCGAGATTACAGTAAGCTATCGTGGTTCAGCGACACTGATGGACACAAGAGTCGCATGTATGCGACCAAGCTTCTCAAGCATAAAGGTCCGCCATGATTCGAGGTTATACCATGCGATTGAAGGATCTGTCTGGTCCGAAGAAACGGTCCCAAGACTGCATACTTGGTCAGGAAAGAATGGACACCCCCATCCGTCTCACTTCAAATGTTCCTTCAGTGCCCCGAGAGATGGAGACGCGGCGACCAAGGAGCCAATTAGCATCTGCGATGTTCCTTTTATGGATGAGGGTTATCAACGCCAAACGGGACTGGTCTCGGAGATGTTCCCTATCGATGGGCAACCCAATGCCGGTCTTGTTTTGGGGCCCATGTATCTCGTTATCAATGCCACAGGTAATCAGCGAGGCTGGCAAGAGTTTGATGGGGAGGAAATAGATATCAAAACCGAAAATATGCTCACCGACAGCAGTGAGTGGGTCACACTGCAAACTTATGTTGGCGGTCTGCCCATTGGCATTCGCATGACCCTTTGCTCCTTCGCCCCGCAGGTCCAAGACCTTAACATTACGGCTACGAGGTCACAGGGTGCTGCTGAGGTAACTACACGCTGGTTAGACTCATCCAACATGTACGACACAGAGGATATCCGGACACAACTAGGAGTTACTACGCACCTTAAATCCAACGTCGACCGTGGAATATTCAAGCTTGCAAAGAAGGATTCATGGCTTATCCCACACGTTTGGTATAATGATAACAATTCAAGCCTGTTGGTCGCCAAGACGCCGCCAGTAGATCCGATAGCGATTAGGAACAGCGCTTTCACCGGCCTTCCGGGTGCGGCGATGGATGATTCTACCGTTGAAATGAACCTACCAGACGACAGTGGGTTCAAATACAGCACTGCCGACGACCACATTGATATCCGCGCCGTTACACTACGACGCTTGCATGCCGCTGTGTTCACAGCCACGATAAAAAACACAGGTAGCGCAGCCTGGGCAATCCAGGCTCTTATTACGACTCTCTTCAGCATGTCCTATTACGACTTTATTACCCAATTTAGCGTTTCAGCACCAGCAGAATTGGAGGTAAAGCTGACAGCCACGCGGCCAATGTCTTTCCGGTTCTTTATAATTGTCTTAATAATTATAGCAGTACATCTCTCAGTTATGATCTTTATAACAGCATGGTTTTTACAACACGCTTAGGATAGTTTTATAGGTGGCTCTTGGGCAGCAGTTGCATGCATATCAGGTCCAGCAACAGATGCTTGGTTGGCAAAGGCTAGTATAATGGCTGACGCAGAGGTAGATAAAGCTATGTTAAAGCTAGATGAGAAGAACATATTAGTAGGATCTGTGAAATTTGGAAATAAAATGCACTTAGTACGGCAATAATAATATCTATATATTAGATAAAATTGTTTTCTTACTTCTAAAGACTATATTTCTTTTAATAGGTATACTCATATGGCAATGTTAGGGTTCGGGATCACGGGCTATTCAGAGAATAAAAGTTTATTAACATAATAGAAAATTAAAGTTAAAGGTAGAAGCAGCTTTAATGATTAACTTTAACTCTATCCTACATTTTTTATAGCTCTATAGCACGAGTTATAAGAGTTTATAATAATTTTCTAACTAAAGGTTAATAAAAAGCTTACTAATATAAGGAAGCCCTATATTAGAAAAAAGCTAAATAGGAAAAGTATAGATTTATAATATTAGAAAAAATCAAAAGTAAAATAGTATTATTATTAGAAATATTTAAGAGAGGAATAGCTTTATAATACTATATATAATTGGCTTGCCTAAAGAAGGTAGTATAATAGGATAGTAATTATAATAGATAATTAGAGGTAATAGATTAATTTATCTTAAGATCTCTAATTACTTCCAAGCTAGAGAGGAGGTTTATAAGTAGTTCTATTACCTATAAAGGCTTTCTCTATCCTATTAGAAGCTAATCTTATAATAAAGAATACCAAAAAGGACTATAGGATTTATTAGATTATTTAATAAGGGTATTATCCTATTACTTTATAAATAAGCTATTAAACTTTATTTACTTAAGAAAATAACTACTAAAATTATAATCCTTTATAAAAATACTTAATTCCTATTATAAAATAACTCCCTAGTATATTAATAATATATTACCTTACCTCTATATAGTTTCTCTTATCTTATTAGAAATACATTTTTACTTACCTATTAACCATTTAGCTATAACTTTATATACTAAGTTATAAAAAATGCCATAGAAAAAAAACCATACTATTAAACTATAAGGGGCAAGGTTATAAAAAAAGGTAAGAGGGTAAAGTTAAAGATATTATAGTAAGTAAAATATATAAAAGTAATATATATAGAAAGATAATAATAAGATAAGTATTTTCCTATAATATAAATTAATTTTAAGCCAGATTATAATATTATAATAAGTTTAAAGTTTAGTAATTTTTTTTAATATAGTTATAGAAATTAAGATTATATTATATAATTAGTTAGTCTGCCTAGCCTATATATTTTAGTATATTAAATTAAGATAAGAAAAATACCTAATTTTAGGTAGGGGATAATATAAGAATACTAATTCAAGGTATAAGTTATTATTAATTTAACTTATATTATATTAGAAGTATATTAACTAATATAATAGTATTTTTAAAATATAGTAATTTAATATAATTAAATTTAATTATATTTTAATTATAGTTATATTATATAATATATTTATTATATAATATAAGAGTAATCCTATTAAATAGGTAAAAACTAACCTAATAGTTTAATAAGCTAAATATAACTTATATAATATCTATTACCTTAACAGGGGATAAAGTATTATAAATAAAGGCCTAGTAGTAAGAAGAAGGCCTAGTTTAAGGTTTATATTAGCAGATTAGAAGGGCAGGTATAAAGCCAGATAGATAGAAAGAGTATAATTATAAAATATAATAATAATAGTAATAGAGAAAGGAGGAGCTAAGAGAGATATATTTATAAATAGCTGCCTAATAGAAAGTTAATATAATAGATATATTTATATTAAAATATTATTAAAATTAACTAAATATATTTATTTTATTACTATATAATAATAAGAGTTAAGGTTATAATAACTAGAAAATAAGGTTTAAGCTATAATAATTATAAAAGTAAATTTAAGTTATATATAGCTACTAAAATATTAATAAGTATTAAAATAAAATAAAACCCTATTTATAAACTAGGATTAAATTATTAGTATATTAATAGCCAGGATATTTAAGTAAGTATATATAATTAAAGGAGAAAATAGTAATTATATTAATCTGCCTAGATTTATATTATATTATTTATTATATAATAATACCTAAGATAAAGCTATTTATTTATTTACCTAAGTATTTATTTATATTTTACTATAAATATAAAATTAGATTTATTATAAGTAAGATCTTATATTATTTAAAAGCTAAGTATAATAAGATATCCTATTAGAAGATAAAAAGTATTAAGAAGGAAGTTATAGCTATTTAAGGTATAGCCAGAAACCAGGCTAAATTAAAAAATTAGGAGCTGCTATTACTAACTATTTAGCCAAACTTATATATTTAGCCCTTATAATAAGGTAAGTTAGGTTATAATAAATATTTATATATAATTAAAGAGGTATATAAGATATAAGAATATTACTATATTAAGTATAATTAGGTAAATAATTAAAAGAAGGGTAAAGATATTTAATACTAAGCCTAATAGGCATATTAACTATGCCTATAGAGAACTAGTATATAATACTAATAGGTATACTATTAGGGGCATAATAAGTAATAATTTAAGGTTAGCTATTATAGTGGCATAAAGAAGGGGATAAGGGCAAGAAAGCTATATTAAAAGGAGGTAAAAAAAGAAAATAAGTTAAAAAGTAAGGCTAAGTTTTTAAATAAGATCTAGTAGGAAGATAGGGATTAATTTAAAAATAAGGCTAATATAAGAATCTAGGCTGCTAATAATAAGTAAAAAGCTAAATATTAATTAAACTAGTATAATTAGCTATATTATTTAAAAGAAGTTAAGTATAATAAAATAAGGGTATTATTATAGCTAATTAGTAATAATAAACTAATATTATAATATATATAAGAGATATTTAAGTAGGTTTTAAATAAGGTATATATTACTATAAGTTAATATTTTCCTAGTATAGCTAAGTTATTTAAGATTAAGTATAAGAAGGCATTTATTATAATAAAAAAGCTATTTTAAGGATTAATAAAGCCAGATTTATAAGAGTAATATAAGGTATAATAGAAAATATTAATATTAATTTAAAAGTAGTTAGAGTTATAATATAATAGCCATAAGGGCAGCTAAAATAATAATAATAATAACTATAATAATAATAATAATAATAATAGTAGTAATAATAATAGTAATAATAGTAGTAATAATAGCAGTAGTAATAATATTATTAGTAAAGTAGGCTATAATAACTATAATTTAACCTAAGGGTAATAGCTATTATATTATATAATAATCTAATAGGAGGAATTATAAAAGGTATTTAATAGGGGCATTATATAAGCTATTAATAGTATTAATAGGGACAGCTAGTATATACTAAAGTAGTTATAATATAATTATTTAAATATAATAATATAGTTTTTAAATTACCTAGTTAAGAATAGTAATTAATATAAAAGTATTATTATTAATATATTAGCTATTATAGGATTTAATTAAAAAGGCAATAGGTAAATATTAGTAATAAATTATATATTAATATATTTAATAGTTATTAAGGTGGCCTATTATTTAATATTATATTAGTTTATATTAAAGTATAACTAATAGAAGGTATAATTATAATAGTAAATAGGTAAGTAATAGGCTAAATAGGAGGCTAAGGGATTATTTTATATTATTTATAATAAGGTCTAGTAATTTATAATATAAATTCTAAAGAGGGTAAGTATTAACCTAATACTAATAAATTAGATTATTAATATATAAATATATAAAAAGTAAATCTAATATATAATACTAAGAATTAAAAGAATTAATTAATATAAAGACTAAATTATTTATAGTTAGGTTAGGATTATAATAAGGAAGATATTTAATATATTATATAATTTAATAATTAAGATATAATAAATATTAATATAGTTAGTAATAGGAAAGATTAAGTTAAAATAAATACTAATATAATTAATAGTAAGAGATATTAAGGGCAAAGGTAATAAAAAAGAAAATAATATTATATTATTATATATATTATAATTAAAAATTAAGGACTAATATAATAAGAGTATATTAAGGTATTTATTTATTAAAGATAAAAAGAACTAATTATAAATTATAACTAGGGAAGGTTAAACTAAGTAATAAATTATATTATTATTAGTATAATATAATATATAAATAAGTAAGTTATTATCTAATAAAGAAGTAGGTAAGGCATGCCTATATAAGGAGAGAGTAATATAGGTATATAGTTAAATAGTTAAGTAGTTTTATATATAAATATTTATATTAATATATATATTAGGAGGCTAGCCAGTAAGGTTAACTAAGATTTTAGGGTTATAAATATAAAACATAGCTAATAGCAGTATAAGGAATATATTTATATATAAAGATATAATATATTTTATTACTATATATTATAAGGGATTCTGCTAATTTAATAATATTAAGGTTATTTATTAATATTTACTATATAAGGTAGAAGAGTTATTAATATAATATATTTAATTAATATTACTATTTTAATAGAATATATAAGGCAGAATTAAAAAAAAATAGTAATAAAATATATTTTTATAGGTAGATAAGGTAGTTAATAAGTATAGTAGTAAGGATAAGAAAGATAAGTTTAATAAGGTAAAAGCAGCTAGGATTTCTAATAATAATAATAAGGCTAAGTTATAATTATAATAAGAAAGAAAAAAAAAGGCTATATTTATAAATTAGTTTTATAAAAAGAAGTAAATTAATAACTAGGTATAATAGGTATTATAATAATATAATATATAGTTTTCTAATTAAAAGTTAAATATTAGTAAATAGAAATAAATAATAATTAGTATTAGTAATTAGTATTTTAATAAAGTATTTAAAACTAATAATAATAATAATAACTTAAATAAGAATAATATTATAACCCTAGTAGTTATATTATATATATCTTATAAATTTCCCTATATAATTAACTAATT